AGTCATTTTATTTACTTAGAACTTTTGGGTTATAAATAGTCCTTAGGTTCAACCTTTGAACTCATGAAAATTTATATTTCCTTGGCTATTTATTGAAATTATACTTTTCTTTCGTCTTTTTTATTTTTCTTTCATTATTTTTTTCACAAAGCTAAGCATGATCCAATTCATACTTAGTTAAATCTCTTTTAGCCGATAGTTGAGCGATGACTTAATCTGTTTCGCAAGAATTGAAAAACGCTTCATACCTTCATGTATATTTCTTGATTTTCGACAAACAATATTAGATAATCGACTTAATCTTTAAATTCTTTACACTTTCAATTCAAAGATTGCACCTTGGCTTGAATGTTGTTTTGATTTATCGTTGGGGAGGATAATCGGCTTGTAGCAAATTCAAATCCCTAAGAACAAACTTAACGGTGGTCCGCTAAGTAAAATCAAAATCGGGTTCGATTCTCATTGAGATGCATAATTCGAGCACAATATTTTCCAGCATTAAAGAAGATATTAATGTTAGCATCGATAGTCGAAGTTAAATCTAAACAAGAATTAAATTTCAATGATTGACTTTGGAAACTAGTTCATAGGATATAAGAGCAAGTTACAAGAGTTGGGCCTTGAAGACTGTAACCGACAAGAATCTCGAAGTAAAATATATTTTAAGGATTGAGACAAGTTGAGTTAAAGCGAAGCTAGAGGCTAACTTCTATCATTATCTCTTTCAATTATTTTTTTATTGATTTGTTATTTTTTTAATTTTAGATTATTCAATTAAATTTGATAAAACCTCTGTTAATTTTATTTTACATATTTTCTGGTTAGTTCATGTGGATTGATCTTATTTCTCTATACTGTTTATTTTATATTATTTATTTAAATTGAGAATTAGGTTTATTTATTTGAAAATTACGACGCTTTTTATGATGACACGATCTTATGGTGACGCACCAACATCATTGTTAATTTTTTTTAATAACGAGTGACCAAATAAAACCAAAATTAAATGTTAGGTATACCTTTTAAGAAAAATAATTTGTGACCAAAATAAAATAAAAATGGTAATTGAGATATTAAAAAGTGTAGTTTACCCTATTTATTAATCAGTCGGGGTTTTATGGAAAGAGGTGGGTTAAATGGAGGATTAAGTTAGAACACAGTCAAATATCTAATTGGTATAATGTCAAAATTAGCCTTCCAATATCGATCAAAGTGATCATTTTATTCTCTATTTTATTTTTAAAGTATTTTGACTCCTAATATTTTATTTTGAGTAAAAACACTCTTAATGATTGACAGAATAATCATTTTATCTCTGACATTTTAACCCTTAATATTTCATTTTTAGTTAAAAAAAACTCTTATTTTAAGTTAAAAAATACTCATGTTTGTTTTAGACTCTTAATTGTGTATTAATTAATGATTTTTATCTGTAAAAAAAAATTCTACCATGAAAGTTAAAATATTTTAAAAAATAAAATAAAATTCAACATAATCATTTTAATAAATATTAAAAATTGTTTTTAACATCGTGTCTATCTAATTTTATTTATTCCGAGGAAAAAGAGGTCCGATTTTTGTATTCATCCGATATTGGTTGATCCGATGACCCGTGTTCTTCGTTCATCCCAACTGTTTTTTTACCGTTGGTTCATCCGAAATTTTACATTTCCTGATAGAAAATTCATCCGAAAATTCGGTAAAGAATGTCCTTTTATTCTTCTAGCTTTTCTTCCTAAATATTTTAAATACCTATATTTCCTGGTTCTTCCTCCGATTTAGCCAATCAAAATATTATACTAATTTTTCGGTAGTCTGAAAGGATTCTTTTCATAATAATGATACTAAATCGCTCTTTGATTTGTTGTTTTCCACATTTTTTTACTGTAAAGCAAGATCTATCGGGACTTATTTCCATTGAAATTACGCCGACTTTACTTTTAGGTTTAGGTTCCGTTATTTGTTTTGAAAGAAAAGCTTTAGCATGCTAGTCCCTAGAATGTTTTGTCTGGAATTTTTTGGTTTCTCTTCCAGAAATTGTTGATTGAAATTTCTTGGTTATGAATTTTAGTAATTTAAGTTCCCTTTCTTGACTACTTGATGATGAATTGATAGTAGTTGAACTTGTTATCGGGTGATACTTCACTTCTAAAATACGTATGACCAATGTTTTGGTGTCACTTGTTAGCATTTAAACATACGATTCTGCATTTAAAATTTTTACTCAACGCAGTGTTGCTACTTAGATTGACTTAGAAATGGCAAATTAATTGGCTATGAACTCACAAATGAATAGGTCATGAACTCATAAAGCTAGTTAAGGGCTTAGGCAGGGACGGACGCATTTTATTTTAGGGTTACTGACCTTTAAGAAGTTATATTAGAAATTTGGAGAGTGCAAAATTATCCACTTCATATATGAAATCTTATTCAGTGCTTTTAGAATGGCTATGTAAAATTTGTTCTAATTGTTTGGTTTGTAAAGGCATTCTAGGCGGGAAGGACCTGTGCAATATATACTTTGTTTCCGTTGCACAAATGAATTATATTTTGAATGGATAAGCTGCTAGCAAGGAAGAAATTTTGTTTACATAGAATGATAAAAGGACCTCTTGTTTAATGTGTCTGCTAGAACCATTCAGGCATCCGATCCAGTTGTCTTCTTAATCTGCTACTCTGTTGGCGTAATTGTGGATCATTCTTTAATATGCTACTCTGTTGGCATAATTGTGGAATTTCATTATCCTTCGACAAAAATCAGATTTTAACTTTGGGTTTTCTGTTGCAGAGAAAGTTGGACATTATATGGGTAGTAACCTCAATGTTAACAAAACTGAATTTATGCGGCTGGTATACCAGCTAGAACTCTGGACTCCATTAAATCTGCCACTAGCTTCAAATAAGGTTTTTTGCCTGTTAGGTACCTCGGTATTCCTCTTGTTACTCGGAAGCTTACTGAAAAGGATTGTCTTCCTCTCTACGATAATATTAAACGTAGGCTTCACCATTGGTCTGGTAAACTTTTAAGCTATGCTAGGCGTCTAGAGTTAATTAAAACTGTTCTATACAGTGTTGTTAACTTCTGGAATAGGCAATTTATCCTTCCTCAGAAAGTTATCAATCGTCTTGAACAACTTTTCTCTAGATTCCTTTGGAAAGGTAATGATACTGCTGCTAAAGGTGCTAGGATTAGCTGGGATAGAATTTGTTGTCCCAAATCTGAAGGAGGTCTCGGGTTGAAGAACATTCATTCCTGGAATAAAGCCTGCATGATCCAACTCATACGAAAAATTATGGTTGGAGAGGGTTCCTTATGGGTCGCTTGGATTCATTGTTATATTATTAAAAATAACGATCTAAACGACATTAAAATTAATACTTCTCACAGCTGGACCATCAGAAAACTCATGAAAATTAGAAGTGAAGCACTTCCAAATTTAACTGTTGGTGTCACTAAAACTAAAGATATATGGGAAGATATTAGAGTTCATAGAGATAAGGTTTCCTGGCATAAAGTGATTTGGTTCCCACTTAACATCCCTAAACTTAGCATAATCTCTTGGATGGCAATTCTGGATCGCCTTCCTACGCGAGATAGACTTATTAGAATGGGTATTGCGTCCGACAGTCTTTGTATTTTGTGCAATGAAGATCATGAAACTAGAAATCATTTGTTTGTTGACTTTACTTATGCTACTTCTCTTTGGAATTCTATTATGAATCTATCTAGCATGCGAGATATTCACAGGTCTTGGGATTCAAGGCTTGAATGGGCTGCTCAAACATGGAAGGGTAAATCTCTTCTTTCCACCATTCTGAGGATCTCCTGGACTGCTTTCATATACTTCATTTGGGAAGAGAGAAACAGAAGAGTTTTCAACCGAGGGACAAAAACAGTAGACCAATTATTTACGGCTATAAAAGAGCTTATTCGAATCAAACTTAGTACCAAGGACATAAATAGACTAGATTACGTTAATTCTAGACTTTGTAATTATTGGGATATAGACTAGCCTTTTGTCTGTAAATAGGTGCTATTACTCCCAATTGGGATGAGTGTTGTATGATGAACATTTTCTGTTTGGGTAATAAAAATTCTACTTATCCAAAAAAAAAAAAAGTACCTTCAGTTTTCTCGGGAGCTAGTTCGCGAGTTACTTATTGCAATATCTAATTCTGTGCCGATACCAATCTGATTGCAGAACATGCATTTAAAATCATATACGGTGAAAATGATGCTGCAGTAAGACTGATGGAGCTGAAAAATACAGGTCTGAACTGATTTCCATATCCTATGATCTGTCGCCTAAAGATCAAGTTCCTCCGGTTGTGCTTGGGAACCATATAGGTTAGCCAGGACTAAAATTGTCATGGGAAATTTTATAGAACAGAGTGTCAGTTGATGTTTTGTGGAACTCAGTTTTGTATGATTTTACACCTGATGTTGGTTTGTTTTGCATTCGACTGTCTCGATGTCACTATAAATAAGGAAACATATATCTGTAAACACTTGGTTCATTCTTTACACCAAATGAGCATGGATAGGTCTTGCAAGGTGAAGCATGTTGCTGAATTTGTTTGTTTGGTGCTTTTGATTAGGTGGGTGTTGGGATCCACATGAGTGGTGGGACAATGATAATTTTTGTCTTGTGAGTCACGGCACGGCACAGGAATGATTTTGAGTTTTGTAGCCATAGTGGATTGTAAATTAAAAATTCTTGACAAGGATGAGTGCAGGAGGAACATCCCACACCGTCCCGCCCGACTGACATCCCTAACAATTATGTTAACAATTAACAATAAGTGGTTTGTTTGAAACCAAATTCGAAAGTGTATTGATTGATTTGATATTATTTTTTATTTGATAATCAAAATAGAATTGATCCAATAAATTAATAGTTTTTATAATAATTTACCCATTTTTTTAGTAACATGGAGAGAATTTCTATGATGATTAACAAACGTCATACGGTTTCCTACTTGTATATAAGGAGGCATCAAGTGTCTCTTAAACCAATGTAAAGAAACATAGCAGAGCAAAAAATGATGATCGAAATCAAGTCGGAAATAGTTTCTAGGCAAACCATCAAACCCTCCACACCTACTCCTTCCCACTTGAAAACCTTCAAGCTCTCTCTTCTCGATCAAATCTCCCCTAACATCCATGGCAACATGACTTTCTTCTACCCATCTAATAACTCCTCCCATTCCATCTCTGACCATGGCTTCTTCCACAAATCCAAGCTCCTCCAACACTCTATCTCCAAAACACTCTCCCTCTTTTACCCACTGGCCGGACGTCTCCACGACGCCGCCACCGTTAATTGTAACGACGAAGGTGCTTTCTTTGTGGAAGCCAAAGTCAACATCCAACTGTCCCACTTCCTAAATAAACCCGACTTGAATCTCATGGACCATTTCTTACCTACCACTGATCCCCCTACCATGGAATTATCGAATGGTGCCATGTTCCTCGTTCGGTTCACTAGCTTCAGTTGCGGTGGTGTGGCTGTCAGTCTCTCCCTCACTCATAAGCTCTTTGATGTGTCCGCCCTACTCACTCTTCTTCAGACCTGGTCATCGGTTTGTTGCGGATCGAGTCACCCCATTGCCCCTATTCTCATCGGGGAAAAGTTTTTGGCACCCAGAGATGAACTGTCTGCCATATCTGCAACGAATAGAATCGAAGCTGAAAAGTTTGTGCAGAGGAGGTTCGTGTTTAGTGCAGCAAAGATTGCAGAACTGAAGGCTGAAGTCAATAAGGAATTTCATGACGTGTTTCAAAGCTATCCCTCTCGTGTTGAGGTGGTTTTGGCACTCATATGGAAGTGTGCCGTGGCTACCAAGAAACAGAAAACAGGGAAATTTGGACCGACAGTAATGTTTCAAGCCGTCAATCTGCGTAAAAGGTTGTCTCCTCCGCTACCGGAGACTGCGGTTGGGAATTTCATATGGCCGTTTACGGTGTTTGCATATGAAGATAAAGATTTAGAGCTACATAAGTCGGTGATTCAAATGAGAAAATGCTTAAACGAATTCAACAACACCAAGGCAAATATGTTCAGAGGCGAAGGAGCTACACAGGCAATCATGGAGGCCATAAAAGAGACAGGAGAGTTGTTTAGAAACAACAAGGAAATGATTGTTTACAAGTGTTCAAGCTGGTGCAAGTTCCGTCTGTATGACACTGATTTCGGGTGGGGAAAGCCGCTATGGCTTGTCAGTGTAAACAAATTGGTGAGCAACACAATTGCTTTGGCTGACACACGGTCCGGTGATGGAATTGATGTTTTAATGACTTTGGATGAAGAAGAAATGGCCTTGTTTCAACAAAATAAACAACTCCTCAAATATGCTACTCTTAACCCCAGTATTTACGCTTGATGTTTTAGGGTTTCTGCATTTCAAATTGTAACCGCAGTGTGCGACTCTGTTCCAATACATTTTGCTTCCTTTTACAATGGATTGATCACATAATTATGTAATCTTTTCTTGTGCAAAACAACGGCAGAATACGACGATAAATGATTAAATTTGCCATGTAATTAGTGTGCAAAATCAAGTTCCATTCTAGTGCGGCCACATCGACGAGCTTGATTCTTTATGGTAATATAATCATGGGTATACTCTGTATTTAGTCACTTAGTTATTTTTGTGGTTCTGTTTTGATCATTCAAATTTTTTTTCTAAATCAAACTTGAAGTTACAATTTTGTTTCATTTTCCTCATCTATCGTTACAAAAAAAAACTGATGATGTGTCATTACCTTATGGTGACACATTAACATCACAGGGATGACTAAAACGTAACTTTAAGTATTGTTTTAAAAGAAATAATTATATGACTAAAATAAAACCACAAGAATAATTGGGTGACTAAACACTAAATAAGCCTTTAATTATAACTATTGTCCATGTTGCAATCTTCGCCGAATTCCCTACTAAGCATATTTTTGGAAGAAACAAAGTAGAAGTAAAAATGCGTGAACCGGATATGGGGATCTCATAATATTTGTTTTATTATAAGCATTGTTTTAGAGAACTGATTTGACTATTTAGAGTCGTGTAAGAAATTAAAAACAAGACTTTTTAACCAAACCAGCCGAAAAAAGAATTTTTTATCCTCTAAACGATAAAAGAAAAAGAAAAAAACTTAGAATTATTAGTCTATCAAACACTACCTAAATGAATTTTTATTAATTTATTTTGTTCCTTCTAAGTTTTCAACTATCAAAGTCAACAGTTTAATTTTTTATTCTAAATATAATTTACTATATTTAGTCTCGGAAAAGCTTAATATTTTTATCATTTTCTTCTGTATATTATTTGGTAAGCAAATAAAGGGTACAAGGCATGCTCATTTAGGACAGTAAATGAGGTGAGATAAATCGCGACTTACTCAAATTTAGTTTGGTTAAAGTTCAATTAATATTCGATTTGAATGAGCTCGACTCAAACTTATATTTGACTTAAATTCTTAATGAGCCGAAATAAACTAATTAATACTCAATCCGAAAAATTTGCGAGCAGCACGAAAAGATACTATATTGAAATTATATTTTTAAACTAAATTATTAATAATTATAAAATTTTAAATATATATTAAAATGTTCAATAATATAACTATCCTAAAAGTTTAATTTTTAAAATTAACGAGTCCAAAGTTCAACTGTTGTATTGCATCGCACTATTAGAAAAATAAAAACCCATTTGATTAGGCAAATGTTTGATCAAACACGTTTGGTTAGCCCTTCTTTTCCAATTGTTTTTTTTTAATTCTTTATGATACGAACATCAATAAATCTTTTATAATGATACTGAGAAATATTAATTTAATATGGAATAAGATTATAGATAACTTTTTTTAATGATTTAAGTCCTTTTTTTTTCTTTCCTTTCACGTCATTTTATCTGATCTATATGTGATTTCTCATGTATACGTTTCGAAGAGATTTAGCTTTTTATTTTTTTAATTAAATAAAGAGATATTATAATTTCAAAGAAAATACAAGGATTCGAACCCGCGTATGATTAAATAATATGAATATCCTTGAGTATTCTATCAATTAATGAATTTTATTTATTTATTTTTGGCATTAATGCTTTAAAAAAACATTTGCAAGCAGTGAGCTTGCCTCTACTTTCAAGCATTTTATAAGGACTAACGGCAACATTGATTCATTTTTGACTAGAAAACAAAGGCTAAAAGTACATTGAAATAAAAAACCAAAATATTTTTTTTAATAAAAAAATCAAAATCTAGCCACATGAATTAGTCCTGAACCGCATTTTATTTTTTTCAGCAATAATAATCTTTAATAAAGCTACAAGGTTTGAGAGCATCGCCGAAATCAATCAAACATTGAATCATGGAATATATTAAATGTAATTAGAGGCATGGCAGTCCTACAGCCGACCGGTACACTTTTGAAATAAAATATAACGTAAGGTACAATTTTATTTGAAAGAAAAAACTCATTAGGTCAAATCGACGGATCAAATTGTCATCTCTAAGCATGTGTATCAAAAAAATTGTTATTTAATATTTATTATACATAGTTTTATTTGTTGACAAATGATTTGTGGCAAATAATAATACTGAGGGTAAATATGTAAATAGTACAACACATCCAATCTGATATAGTAAAAAACCAAGTCGAAGATATCATACTGGTTGAAACTTAACTAGGCTTGGGTCAGAATCAAATTTGATATTAATCATTCAACCATCATAAATCTCCTTATTAAGGATTGGATCGACAAACATGTAAAATATAAGAATCATATAAAAACATAGAACAAGGAAAAAGGGTAACAAGAAATAATTTAACAAATTGTATTTATGGCCTATAGTAGCATGTCACAAAGGTTTTAAAACTCTAGAGTGGGGTTCCAAAACCTCATACCCCTCTATCTCAAGGATTTCAAAACCTTTCTTAAGGGTTTTGATTACCTTGTTTTTTAGAATTAAGCCTCGAGATATACAATATTGATATCTTGATCATCGAGCAACTTCTAATGATAAGTTTTGACGATAAATTATATCCAACATACATTAGATGTCCACCAAGAAAGTCACATACAAGAGTTTAAATTTATAATATCTAAATATAGTCCAATCAAAGTTATGCTTGAAATCAAATATTATAATTCATTCATCACCACTAACCCCTTTCTAAGAGAACTAAATTCTATTGCTCTCCTTGTACCCTCACATGATACCGTGAACAAACAATAAAAGCATATTATAAATAATCATACACGTCCCACCTTGAACCCAAAATTCAAAAGAAAAAACTCAAATACCATATGAAATCACCCTAAATTACCATAATTCAACCATCAAATGTCATAATAAGCATGATCACACTTGTGAAGTTATACAAATGTATATTGCTTAACGCTTATACAAAAACATAATTCAAATGTACCAAACATTACATAACTACATAGCCATCTTTTTAGGATATTAAACTAAAAATATTTACACTGATTTGATTTGGAATTGACTTATAACCTTCAAAATGTAATCCTAAACACACTATCAAAATCGATCTCCTATGGAAGCAATCAAACACATAAGGTGAGTTTGTATAGCTTAGTAAGATAGCCAAGACTAACCAAAACAATGATATGAAATCTATAAAATGAGATTATATAAAAACATGGCATCTCTTTTAAAGAAATAGCAAAGTGCCTTAATTAGCGACATACGAACACTCGAACCTCATATCATCACCAAGTAATACACAGAAAACATCATCCCTATACCTTGTTGGGGTCGAATTCTAGTAATCAAACAACATCCTTTTGCCCCCCAAAGACCAAAGTCTATAAAAAACCAATACACGAGAACTGTGGACTCCATGACATATAATTTTATCTAACACTCAACTAATTGGGCAAGGGCTCAGTTTATCAAAGCTCAAATCCCATTTTAAACAACTTATAATATGCTTTCACAAATTACATTATTACAAAGTAAGAGCACATAGCTCAATTTAGTCCAAATTCATATACTGGACTCCAATTTTACATATCAAAACTCAAATTCATCAATCAAATTAAAACATAACATACTCAAATTATCAAAATAACTTATCAAAACTTACTCAAAGAACATAGTTGTCATTCAAATTCTCTAATTGAGTCATAAAAAAAATATCACAATTACACATTTAAAACCAACTTAAGCTTTCAATACTTGTACACAATCAAAATCTAAACACATTCATACTTGTATAGATTCTATTTTGACTACACTCAACTAACTTAAGCTTTCAAAATGTCTCATATCAACGGATTAATCAGAGACTTTAGTTCCCCACTAACTTTGGAGGATTCCAAAAACCCTCTTTTTCTAGCACAAGCAAAACACATCTAAAACAGTATTCATCATCTAAATAAATATTACACATGAAACCTAATTTCCATGAATCCTTAAATGCAATCTGAGTTTAGGGTTTTACTTACTCTACTTGGATGATGAAACAAATCCTACTAACTGGAAGAACTAAGCTTGGGCTTTCCAAATATTTCTTCAATTTTGAGCTAGGGCCACTAAATTAGAGTTAATTTATGGTTTCTCTCTAGGTGTTCAAAGCTTCAATAGTGGTGTTTTAGGGAAATTTGGGAGAAGATGAAAATGCTCCTCTTACCCATCAGTGTTTTTTCCCCTAATTCTTATGTGGTTTTTCATCAAATTTACCTAGTTATCAATCATTACTATAATTAAAAATTAGGCCAAAATGTGGGAAAATTGACACCTAATCCATCCATCAAATCCCGCTAAAGCCACTTATTGGTGTATTTCTTTTCATAATCCTTTCATTTATCCTTTCATCTAGTTTAGTTCCTGAACTCACATTATCTCTTTTCCCCTTGTTTTCAATTTAGCCTCTATACTTCCAATTTTCACATTTCACTCCCTAATTGAATCATAGTCAATCGAAATAAGTTACTCCCATTAAACACAAATTCAAAGGCTTAAAGAAATCAAATGAATCCCCAAAAATTAGTTTTAATTATTAGATACTATAAAAATTTTAGCTCAAGCTTCAAAATTTTTTCGAACTATAAAAATATATAAACTGATCACCCAAATTAAAAGGAGTATAAATGGATTCATTGCCGTTAAAAGTCTAATAGAAAATGATGTGATGGTTAATAAAAACTGGCATAATAACCCTCAATTTTTACAAATTATTGTAATCTGGACCTAATTAAAAAAATTGAACCCTCAACATTTCAAACTCACACCAATTTATTCCCTTTTCTAACTTATTTTCATCATTATCTCCTTAACCATTATCCTTCACCATCGTGTTGGTTTTCTCTCCTTCACTGTTGTGAGCTGTCATCGTCAACAATGAATTTCTCAAGCTTAACAAACTCGTATTCACAATTTTCATTAGAATTTCCTCCAATATCTCCCTTCACATACTTTTCTTCAATTCAACAAAGAACTTGAAAGTTGCAGTTTTATTTTTCATTCGTGAGGAAATGAAGCCCTTCTCTTGAATTTCCTCCATAAAATTACGAGCCTTTGTAGCTTCTCCTTGCCCCGAATATGTTTCCACCAAAACATT